GTGCGGCGGCTGGCTCCGGTGAGGGGTCTGCTGAGTAATGGAGCTCCGGGGAGGGGTGCGGCGGCTGGCTCCGGTGAGGGGTCTGCTGATGATGGAGGCTCCGGGAAGGGGTACGGCGGCTGGCTCTGGGGAGGGGCGCCCAGCTGGAGAATCCTGGGTCCGGTTCGAAGCCCAGGGGAGTCTGGGAGGCCGAATGGGAACCCCGGGGCTGGGCTGCGGCCGGGACCCCGACTCCACGCCAGGCCGACTGACTCTGAGCACCGGCTCCCCCGGACGATCTCCCAGGGGGGCCCTGGCCTGCCCCCCCCAGCACACCCCGCGTGCGGCTGTCACCTCCGGCAGGCTCCCCAGGTCCACGCCCTCAAGGTACTTCTCTGCTACCTCCAGCAGCGCCTGGCGCGGCCACTCCGAGAACCAGTCGATGGTGGTGCAGTTCACCAGCGCCGGGTACTGACGGATCCAGTTCCTGGGGAGACAGGGGGGTGCCAAGCTGAGCACTCCCACACCTCTGCCCCTCCCATCCTGCCCCCCATCTCTGGCCTGCTCCCACCCCACCCCCCAATTCTGCCCCGCCCCATCCCATCCCTGCCCCACTCCTGCCCCTGCCCTGCTCCCGACCCGTCCCCATCCCTGCCCCGCTCCCACTCCTGCCCCATCCGCATCCCTGCCCCGCTCCCGCCCCGTCCCCATCCCTGGCCCGCTCCCACCCCTGGCCCGCTCCCGCCTCATCACCACCCCTCCCCGTTCCCACCCCCATCCCTTCCCTGCTCCCACCCCTGCCCTGTTCCCGCCCGTCCCCATTCCTGCCCCTCTCCCGCCCCTGCCCTGCTCCCAAATCCCCGCCGCCCCGTCCCCATCCCTTCCCTGCTCCCACCCTGCCTCCATCTCTACCACGCTCCCACCCCACCATCTCCCTAGCTCCAGCCCTCACACAGCTGTGAACTCCTAGCTGTGCTCCCCCCCGCTTTAGGTCCTGGCTGCCGGTGACTCCTGAGCTGCCCACCAGGGGGCGCTGTTTCTCCAGTCAGCAGCGCAGCTCCGGGCCCCTCACCTGAAGGGGTCCCCGATGGGGCTGAGGCAGACCACCACGTGCAGGTTGTTCCGCACCCTCTCGATCAGGTACCCAAAGAGGCTGTCGGCCGTCTCGGGGATGCCATCGGCTCGGGCCGCGTCAAGGATCATGGACTGGATCTGGGACATAAGCGAAGTGTCTGCAGCTGGGCACGGAGTCCTGGGCACTGCCCCCTACAAGGGGCCCACCCACCCTCTCCAGCCACCGTGGGCAGCACCCACGTGCCGGCTGCTGGGGGGGGGGGGGAAATTGGGACAGTTCCTCCAGGGAAACAGGGGCAAAACTGCACATCAGGCCACAGTTGTGTGTAGGAGCCCAGGGCCAGGCTAGCAGGGGCTGCGGGTCAGGAGTGAGGGGCACTGGCAGAGCTGGGGGGGGCAGGGCCGGGCTGGCAGGGGCTGCGGGTCGGGAGTGAAGGCCACCAGCAGAGCTGGGGGGGCAGGGCTGGGCTGGATAGGGCTGCGGTCAGAGGTGAGAGGCACTGGTAGCGCTGGGAGGGGGGGCAGGGCAGGGCTGGGCTAGCAGGGGCTGCGGATCAGGAGTGAGGGGCACCAGCAGCGCTGGGGGGCCAGGGGGCTGCGGGTCGGGAGTGAGGGGCACTGGCAGGGCACTCCTTCGGCACAGCTGTCGCAGGGAGACCCCTGGGCCCTGCCAGCCCCTCGCCCGTGGTGCCCCCCAGCCCGGTGCTGGCGCACGCTCGCACCTCCTCAAACTCGTCGGCCTTGTAGAGGTTGGGCACCTCCCCGGAGCTCAGGATGTTGTTGATGTCCTCCAGGAAGGAGTCGTCCATGATCTGCGTGTCCACGAAGAGGAAGGTGGTGGGTTTCAGGTCCACCCCCGCCTGCCGGTACAGCTTCTTGATGTCTGTGGGGAGAGGCCGGGAGGCCGTGAGCTCCCGGGGAGCTGGCCACGTGGGAGGCCGAGGGCCGGGAGCAGGTCGGGGGGCACTCACCATCTCTGAACTCCTGCTTGCGGTAGTGCTTGGTCACCTCGATCTGGAAGGTCTGGTCCTCGCAGATGGAGGAGGCCAGGCGTGCCAGGCTCTGGCGCCCGCTGCCCCCGATGCCCACCAGCAGCATGTTCCCGCGCGGCTGGCCGATCACCCGCACGATCCGGGTAACTGCCGGGGGAGCCGCTGGTCAGAAGGGGGCAGTCTGGGGCCGGAGTGGGCTGCTGACCGGTAGACCAAAAGGCTTGCATTGCATGCTGGGATTTTTCCTCCACCAAAAGTGGAGGCTGCAGTCAGCTCCCTCCATGGCACCCGAGGTGGGGTAAAGATTTAACTCCGAGAGATCTCAAAGAGCAAGGGGCCAGGACTCCTGGGTCCCATCTGCCGTTCCACTGCTGCCCTGAGCGGTGTGCCCCAGTTTCCCACGTTTGGGGAGGCGTGCGCGGCCTGCTTGGTCACGTGGGGCTCCGTGTCGGTTCACTCAGGGGCAGAGCAGGTTCTGATCTGCAGCCAGGTGCCAGGGCTGGGCTGGCGATGGGGAGTGAGGGGCACCAGCGGGGCTGAGGGGGGAGCCATGGTGGCACCTGGCAGGGGCACAGTGCGGGAGGCGCCGCCTGCCCCGGCCAGCGTCACTCACTGTGTTCGATGGCATCTCTGAAGAGCACGAGCTGCATCTGCACCACGCCGGGCGTCTGGTTGTACTCGTCCAGCGCCCGCTCCATCTCCAGCTTCAGGGCCGACAGGTCCACCAAGTCCTCGTACACCCGCGGCTCCCGCATGAAGTCCCCTGGCCGGCAGGCAAGAGGAAGGGTCAGTGCTCCCTGTCTGGGCCACCAGCCAGCACGGACCCCAGGAGTCCTGGCTTCTAGGCCTGAGTCCCGCTCTAACCACTACAACCCTGCCCTCTCCTCCCAGAGCCGGGGAGAGAACCCAGGAGTCCTGGATCTCCCCACTAGCCCCAGAGCGGGGGCTTGGCAGGCGCCCCGCGGCGCTCACCGAAGATGGGCGGGCACTTGCTGGGGCAGAGGTTGTGGAAGGTCAGGTCGAAGAAGGAGCCCAGCTTCTCGCTCAGGAGGGCGACGAAGGAGTCCTTGTCGGCCGAGTCCACCAGGCGGTCGGAGAAGACCCTGCCGAGAGAGGGGGCTGGACTCATGTGCTGGGGGTCGCCCCACCCGCAGGAGCAGGGAGAAGCCGGGCCCCACGTGGGAGGAAAGAGGGGGGGGCGTCATCTCACGGAACCCCCGATGCCACAGGAGGACCCAGGAGGCTGGACGCGGCCTGGCCGGCCGTGGGGGAAGGGGAGATGCCTCCTGGCACCGGGATGGCAGTGCCCAGGAGGGTGGAGGCGGGGCGCGGCGGGGCCGGCCATGGGGGGAGGGGAGATGCCTCCCAGCACCGGGATGGCAGTGCCCGGGAGGCTGGAGGCGGGGCGCGGCGGGGCCGGCCGTGGGGGAGGGGAGGTGCCCGCCGGCACCGGGATGGCAGTGCCCGGGAGGCTGGAGGCGGGGCGCGGCGTAGCCGGCCGTCGGGGGAGGCTCTACCTGAAGCACTCGTGAATCCACAGGCGGGTGAGGCTGGCAGCATGCCCTGGAACACCTGCGCCAGGGGCAGAGCCTGAGCCACCGGCTGGGGACCCTCCCCCACCCGCCCCGCCCCCCCAAGCTGCTCGCCTGGGCCAAGCCCTTCCCCAACGTGGGTCCCAAACGGAAACAGCCCCCTAGAGGGGACAGGCCCCTGCCCCATTCCCCGCCCCCCTGAGCCAGCCAGTCCCCGCCCTGGGGCTGGATGGGAGCCGGCGCCCCCTAGAGGGGACAGGCCCCCAGGCCCCATTCCCCGCCCCCGAGCCAGCCAGTCCCTGCCCTGGGGCTGGGTGGGAGCCGGCACCCCCTAGAGGGGACAGGCCCCGAGGCCCATTCCCCGCTCCCCCTGAGCCAGCCAGTCCCTGCCCTGGGGCTGGGTGGGAGCCGGCGCCCCCCTAGAGGGGGACAGGCCCCAGGCCCATTCCCCGCCCCCATGAGCCAGCTATTCCTAGAAGTCTCTCGCCCAGAACCCGTCTGCGTGTGGCTGCTCCTGTGATGGGCAGGACAGGGACCCGACGTGCAGGACACACTGAGGGGCTGGCACTGGGCACCAACACCAAACCTCTGCTGGATTCCTCCCTGTGCCAGCCCCGCTCTTGCCAGGGGCCTTCTGTGCCCCCAACCCCCATGTGTGGGCACAGCAGATACTGTGAGCGGGGCCCCCTGGCTCCATGCTGGGCTCCGGGCTCAGCTCTGACCCAGGGGGTGAGCGGGGCACCAGCTGGGTACCTTGGAGATGTCGCGCAGGTTGAAAAGGTAGTGGATCTTGGCGGGCGTGGGCAGGAACTTCTGCACCACAGCATGGTACAGCTCGACCGTGGCCTCGGTGGTGACGTTCCCAAGCGGCTTCACCGCCTCCTCGAAGTTCTGCAGCTTCTGGTTGAGCATGGTGCCGAAGATGCGCCGGATCTGCGTCTCCTGCAGGGTGCCCAGAGCGGCACCTAGCGCCAGTTGCTCTCCACCCCGCCCGCCTGTGGGTCCCCCTGTTCCCAGTGCAGGAGAGAGGGGACGCAGCTGACTGGGCTGTGGGCATCCTGGGGGCTGAGAGGCCTGGCACCCACCTGCTCTAAGGAAGGGGTGCCCAGGGGCAAATGGCACCGGGGAGAGGGGGCCCCAAGGCCCAGCTGTTGCACAAAGCTGCTCTGACTCTGCTGCGTGGCATGTGGCTAAGCCGTCCTTACCGTGGGGAAGGTCATGTTGATGAGGTTGAATCTGCTCTGAAGCCGGCCGGATATGACGGTTCGGCCGCCCCCCGGGGGGCCCATGGCTGCCATCAAGAACATGTCCTGAGGGGAGACAACCAAAGTCAAGCGAGGCCTTTCTTCTCCCCCCAGCTGGAGGGGCCTGCGGCGCAGGAGGGGCGGCACGGCTGCCGCATACTAATAGCACTGCAGCGGCAGCGCCCGGCGCTGACGTCTGCTGTGGCCCACGCCAACTAGATTCCGGGCACAGGCGCCCACCTCAGCAGGTGCCCTGTCCGCATGGACTGTTGGAACGACCTCCCCGCGGCGCAGCCGCCATCCTCACCAGCTTTTCCCACCAGGATTGGGGGGGGCTCTTAAGTACCCGTCCCAGGAGGGGGTGGGACAGTTCTCTGGCCTGTGCCAGCGCGCCTGTCCCGCTTTGGAATCCATCCAGCTAGTACCCGGAGGAGAGCAAAGCGCTGCCCTGGGCCCCGGCGCTGCCAGCTGCCCCGGCCTGCAGGGACCCCGCCTCCGCCGAGCTCCCCCGGCCTGAAGGGGGGACACGCTGAAGAAAGGGGGCAGGCCCAGCAGGTGACACAGCTGAGCCCCTCCCCAGGCAGCGAGCCACGCAGCGCCCGGCAGAGAGGCGGCACCAAGGGGGCTGGGGTTGGCACAGCTCAGTGCTGGGTGCCCCCCCCAAATGAGACTGTGCAGAGACCCCTCGGAGAAGTGTTTCCAGGGGCCGAGCCAGCCGCCCATCTGGCTGCAGAACAGTCCCTGGGAGGACGTGCCCGCCCCGCCGGCCACCCCCGAGACGCAGCAGGTGTGAGCCATGGGGCTCGCAGCCCAAGCCCCGGAGGGAGTCAGACGGGCAGCGACGCAGACCAGCAGTGCCGGGCTCCTCACCTTGATGTATTTGATGGTTTGCTTCTCGCGGTCGTACCAGAAGCCGTAGTCGATCCAGAGGCGCAGCAGCTCCAGTGGGGGCTGGGAGCCGAAGGCGTCCTTGGCCGGCATGTTGAGATCATCCATGAAGGTGATCATGCTCTTGCCGCCCATGGGCACGTAGACCCCCTTGGTCCTCTTCTCTACCCGGCTCTCGATGATGTTCTGCACATTGTTGGATGTGGTCTGGGGGGGACAGGACATGAGGTTGAGCAGGGACCTGAGTCCACGGACAGCAGGGGGCTTGTGGCTCCATGGGACGGGCCCAGGGCCCAGCCCCACCCAGGGGTCAGCCCTTCCCCGTGGGCCAACAGGCACGTCACTGGACTGAGAGTTTGGATGTGACTGCCAGCCTGTGACTACCCGGTACCTGCCCAGCCGCCAATGCCTGCCCAGCACCTGCCCAGCCTCCCCGACACCTCCCCAGCCTCCGTCTGCCAGCCACTGACTGCCCAGCACCTGCCCAGCCTCCCCCTGCCAGCCAGCAACTGCCTGGCACCCATTAGCTCTGGGAGGGGAGTGGGGGCTGCGGGGTTAGAGCAGCGGGGGCTGGGAGCCAGGACTCCCGGGTCCTCTCCCTGGTTTGCTCTAACTCACGTGTGACCAGAGCTAAGTCCCTTCCCCCACACATTTGCCACTGTTTCCCCTGCGTATAAAGGGCTGAGGATACTTCCCTCCCTCAAGGGGGCTGTGCCAGCCACTACATGGCTCCATCACCCCCCTGGCCCAGCACAGGGGGCTCTCCATGGCCCTGCCCCCCTGGCCCAGCACTGGGGGATCTCCATGGCCCGTTACCTGTGCCGACATGTTGACGGTCAGCACGGCCCACTTGGTGTTGTCCAGGGACTGCAGCACGCTCTGGGCAATGGAGGTCTTCCCGGTGCCGACCGGGCCCACGAGCAGCACTGGGTTCTGATTGGACACCAGGGCGTTCACCAGGTAGTTGTAGCGCACCGTGTCCACCGTGGGGACGATGATCTTATAGAAGGGGGCGCTGGGGAGAGGGGGACAGATGGGGGCATCAGCCCGAATCATAGAATATCAGGGTTGGAAGGGACCACAGGAGGTATCTAGTCCAACCCCCTGCTCAAAGCAGGACCTAATCCCAACTAAATCATCCCAGCCAGGGCTTTGTCAAGCCGGGCCTTAAAAACCTCTAAGGAAGGAAATTCCACCACCTCCCTAGGTAACCCATTCCAGTGCTTCACCACCCTCATAGTGAAAAAGTTTTTCCTAATATCCAACCTAAACCTCCCCCGCTGCAACTTGAGACCATTACTCCTTGTTCTGTCATCTGCTACCATTGAGAACAGTCTAGATCCATCCTCTTTGGAACCTCCTTCAGGTAGTTGAAAGCAGCTATCAAATCCCCCCTCATTCTTCTCCTCTGCAGACTAAACAATCCCAGTTCCCTCAGCCTGTCCTCATAAGTCATGTGCTCCAGCCCCCTAATTATTTTTGTTGCCCTCCACTGGACTCTTTCCAATTTTTCCACATCCTTCTTGTAGTGTGGGGCCCCAAACTGGACACAGTACTCCAGATGAGGCCTCACCAATGTCGAATAAAGGGGAACGATCACGTCCCTCGATCTGCTGGCAATGCCCCTACTTATACAGACCAAAATGCCATTAGCCATCTTGGCAACAAGGGCACACCGTTGACTCATATCCAGCTTCTCGTCCACTGTAACCCCTAGGTACTTTTTTGCAGAACGTCTGCCTAGCCACTCGGTCCCTAGTCTGTAGCAGTGCAGGGGATTCTTCCTTCCTAAGTGCACTTGTCCTTTTTGAACCTCATCAGATTTCTTTTGGCCCAATCCTCCAATTTGTCTAGGTCACTCTGAACCCAATCCCTACCCTCCAGCGAATCCACCTCTACCCCCAGCTTAGTGTCATCTGCAAACTTGCTGAGGGTGCAATCCATCCCATCATCCAGATCATTAATAAAATGTTGAACAAAACCAACCCCAGGACCGACCCTTGGGGCACTCCGCTTGATACCGGCTGCCAACTGGACCCGGCGGGCTGAGGTGATAGCCACTAAGAACGCCACCTTCCACGACAGGTGGGACCACGAACACGTGGCTAAGGGCTCAAAAGGAGGCCCCGTGAGACGGGAGAGTACCAGGTTTAGATCCCAGAGCGGGACCAGGGGTCTGGCTTAAGGGAATGCCCAATCTAACCCTTTCAGAAACCGGGCTATCATGTGATGTGAGAACACAGACAGGCCCAGCACCGGGGGATGGAAAGCTGAAATGGCTGCCAGGTGCACCCTGATGGAGGAGGGCGCCAGGCCTTAGGTCTGATGGGACAGGAGGTAATCGAGGATAAGTTGGATAGGGGCGGAAGAGGGAGAGGAACCTCTATCCCTCACCCACATAGAGAATCTACAGGGCTGCCCGGGGAGGGGCAAGTGGGGCAATTTGCCCCAGGCCCCGCAGGGGCCCCCAGGAGAGCCCCGGGGTCCTTCACTCACTCCAGGGGCCTCGGAAAACTCTCGTGGGGCCCGGGCCCCCGGAGCTTTTTCCGCTCCGAGTCTTCAGCGGCAATTCAGCGGCGGGGGGGGGGGGTGTCCTTCCGCCCCGGGACCCGCCGCCAAAGTGCCCTGAAGACCCGCGGCAGGGGGTCCTTCCGCCCTGGGACCCACCGCCAAAGTGCCGGGTCTTCAGCCGCAATTCAGCGGCGGGGTCCCCCCACCGCCGAAGACCCCAGGCCCCCTGAATCCTCTGGGCGGCCCTGAGAACCTATACCACTTAGCCAGGTAGGTTCGCCGCATGGAGGGTTTCCTAGTTTCCAGCAGGACCCTTCTCATATCCTCAGAACACCTCCCCTCCTCCTCATTCAACCACGAAGCAGTCAAGCTATCAGATGGAGCGCGGCTAGGTTGGGATGGAGGAGGCGACCTTCCTCCTGGGAGAGGAGGTCCGGGCGTAGCAGGAACCCGCAAGGAGGGGCTGCTAAGAGTTGCAGCAGGGACCCGTACCAATGCTGACAGGCCCAATCCGGGGCTATGAGGATCATCCTTGCCATGTCTGACTTCACCTTCTGTAGGACCCTGCCTATTAAGGGGAAGGGCGGGAAGGCGTACAAGAGGGGCCCCAACCATGGGAGCAGGAATGCATCCGATATGGCCTCTTTGCCCTCTCCTGCTATGGAGCAGAATCGAGGACACTGTCGATTCTGGGAGGTGGCGAACAGGTCTACCTGGGGAGCACCCCACTGTAGGAAGAGCCACCTGGTCACCTCCTTGTGCAGGGACCACTCGTGTTGCTGGGAGAATACCCTGCTCAGGCGGTCTGCGAGCGTGTTGCTCTTGCCGGGCAGGTAAAAGGCCCGAAGGAGTATACTGTGGGCTATACAAAACTCCCACAGGAGCTGGGCTTCCTGGCATAAGGCCCGGGAATGCGTGCCCCCGTTTGTTGATGTAGTACATGGCAGTCGTGTTGTCCGTGAGGACTCTGACCACCTTCCCCTGTATGTGGTGGCAAAAGGCCACGCATACCAGGTGTACAGACCTGAGCTCCCTGACATTTATGTGCAGGGTTAGCTCCTCTGGTGACCACATACCCTGGGTCCTGAAATCCCCCATGTGGGCTCCCCAGCCCAGATCCGAGGCGTCTGACACTAGATCTAGTGAGGGATGAGGCTCTCGAAAGGGGATACCGTGGAGCATGTTGCTCGGGAGGGACCACCAATGGAGGTTTGCCACCGCCCTGGCAGCACTGTGGCAACCTTGTCCAGGCTGTCCCTGGCCTGGGAGTACCGGGAGGCCAGCCAAAGCTGGAGGGGCTTCATCTGAAGCCTGGCATGTCGCACCACGTAGGTGCATGCTGCCATGTAGCCTAGTATTTGAAGGCACACACGTGCCGTGGTTATCGGAAAAGCCGTGATGGAGGCGATGAGAGCCTTGAGCGTCTCAAACCTGTCCCGTGGGTACGGCTGTGTGCAGGCTGGCTGCCCTCTGCTGCAGCAACCGGTTTGAAAGGAGATGCGTTCCCCCACTCCCGCTGCCTGGCGTAGCTGTGATCAGTCCAGAAGTGAGGGAGACGTCGTGAAGAAAGTGCAATTATTTTTCTTACTGTTTTGTTTTCTGCCGATAGATGCTTCCTTCTCCTCTGACCAGGGATTCATCAGCAAGTGGTAAGGATGAACGTGAGCTCGAGCATCCGTCCTCGGAGGGCTCCCGCCCTTGCCAGTTTTCAGGGAGAATGTCTCCTGGTTTTGTATTGTAATGCCGGCAAGAGCACAAAGTCATCGTTGACGTCAACCATCGGCACATAGAACGAGGGAACCTCGTTCACGCAGAGGGATTTATGGCCCGCTGGATCCAGCTCCTGAACCTTCAGCTGCCACTCCATTCGCTGAGTAGCCATGAGTAGCCGTGGATACTCGGGAATCTAGCAGCACCCCTATGAATTGTATATGCTGGACTGGGAGTAACGTGGATTTCTCCTCATTTACCAGTAGGCCTAGAGCCCCGTAGGTGTCTAACAGGAACTTCACCTGCTGCTGCACCAGAGCGCGAGACCGGCCCTTGAGTAGCCAGTCATCGAGGTAGGGGAAGATCTGCAGCCCTTGCCTCCTGAGGTGGGCCGCCACCACTGCCATACACTTTGTAAATACCCTGGGGGCAGTAGAAAGGCCAAAGGGGAGGACCGTAAATTGGAAGTGGTCCTGACCCACCAGGAAACGGAGGTAGCGCCTGTGACCCTCGAAAATGTGGATGTGAAAGTATGCATCCTGGAGGTCCAGCGCAGTAAACCAATCCCCCTGGTCTAGGGATGGAATAATAGAGGCCAGGGACACCATGCGGAATTTGCAACGCACCAGAAACTGGTTGAGGTTCCGCAGGTCGAGGATGGGCCGAAGCCCGCCCTTTGCCCTGGGGATGAGGAAATACCTGGAGTAAAAACCCTTGCCCTGGTATTCCTGAGGTACTCGTTCCACCGCTCCCAGAGAGAGGAGGTGATCTACTTCCTGGTAAAGGAGTAAGGCATGCTCCGGGGACCTGTCCGGCTGCCCGGACGGGGGACAAGTGGGAGGGGCTGAAACAAACTGCAGCTTGTTTGTCACCTTTGGGAGATTGTACTGAGGACCCATTGGTCCGACATGATATGGAGCCATCGCAGTCAGAAGTCCGATAAATGGTTTAGAAAAGGTAACTTATTAACTGGGTGGGGGGTACACTGGCAACAGGCTCGGTGACCCCCCTCAACAAGTCAAAAACGCCGTTTTCCCTGCCGTTTGGCCTTCGAGGCCTTAGGCCGTGGGGCCAAGCGGGATTGGCGTTGGGACTGACGTCTTTGATCCCTCTGCCGCTTAGGCAGGGGTTCATATCTGCCCCTAGCTTGCGGAGCAGGGGGTTGAGGCCTGGGTTTGTCCTTAGCAGGCAGGACATAGAGGCCTAGCGTCTGCAGGGTAGTACGGGAGTCCTTCATCCCGTGCAGACGGGTGTCTGTCTGATCCACGAAAAGGGCCTTGCCATCAAATATGCATTATGGACTGGAATTCTGATGACAGCCCCGAAAGCGAGAGCCACACCACCCATCGGATGGAGACAGCGGTCACCATCGAACGAGCGGCTGTGTCTGCAGCATCCGAAGCCGCCCGGAGAGCCACTTTGGTGGCGGTCGCACCCTCTTCAACCAACACCCTGAACTCCTTCACCTCCTTGTCAGGAATGAGGGGCTCAAATTTGGGGAGGGATCCCCACAGGTTAAACTCGTAGCAGCTCAGAAACGCCTGATGGTTGGCCACTCTGAGCTGGAAACTCGTTGACTAATAAACCTTTTTACCAAAGGCATCAAGTCTACGAGCATCCTTGTCCTTTGGCGTGGGCGCGGGCTGGCCATTCCATTCACGGTGGTGGACCGACTCAACCACTAGGGAGTTTGGAGCTGGGTAGGTATAAAGGTACTCGAGACCCCTCGCGGGGACGAAGTACTTCCTCTCGGCCTTCTTGGAAATAGGCCCAAGAGAGGGTGGGGTCTGCCAA